GTACAGTATTAGAATTAAAGAATCAAAGAGTTGGAAGAGACCCTAAGGGACATCCAGTCCAACCCCATTCTGCCATGGAGGAAAAGGGCAATCAAACCACTCTTAACAGATGGCTATCCAGCCTCTGATTGAAAACCTCAAGAGGAAGAGATTTCAACGCATTCCGATGCAGCACATTCCACTGCTGAACAGCTCTTACCATCAGGAAGTTCTTCCTAATCCATTGCTCCACTGTGGCCTCGTGTCTAGAGCAGCAGAAAACAAGCTTGCTCCTTCCCCAATGTGACATCCTTTAAAATACTTAAATATTACTATCATGTCCCCTCTCAGACTTCTTTTCTCCAAGCTAAACATACTTAGATCCCTAGGCCTCTCTTCATAGGACTTGGTTGCCCTTCTTTGGACACGTTCTCGGAACCATTCATTAGGCCTATTTTTAATAGTTACTCTCAAGCAACCAGGGATTATATCTATCAATCCCCATGGATGCTGGTTAACTGAGGCCCCTTCTACACTGCCAAACATCCAGATTATCTAATCTACGTTATCTGCTTTGAACGGGATTATTTGTCTACACTGCCATATAATCCAGTTCAAAGCAGATAATTTAGGTTTTATATGGCAGTGTAGAAGGGAGTCTATCACAGAGATTTCCAAACATTTCATGTTGGTAACAAACTTTTTAGACATGCTTTATTTTGTGACACAGTAATTCTGTTTGAATAGCAAACAGGAGGTTAAACCAATTCCTTATAAGAGATATAGACACATACATAAATTGTAATAATTAAATGTATGGGGGCACAGCGTATCTCAGGAAAACTTTTCATTTATATTTTTAAAATATATGATTTGTAAGATAATAACATAGACCTTTTAAGCCCTGCATGGTTTGCGTCCAGGTTACCTACAGGATCGTCTCCTCCTTCACAGTCTGCCCTTTAGGACACTGAGGTCCTCTGGCAGACGCTGACTCCAACCAGCCAGAACTTGACTGGCAACGGTCACCCAGAGGACATTTTCATTGTCTACCCCAAGATGACTATGAATTGACCCGCCAAAGGAAAAGATCTGACAGATAAACGATGTGTCAGAATTTAAAACTCCACTGAAGACCCTCCTCTTCTGGCAGGCCTACCCAGTCAATTTTCAATAATGAGTTCCGATTTACATTCTATTGCTTTGATATATCTTTTTTATATTTTTGTATTTTTATCTATGCAATATTTTTTATCATGTCAGAAGTGACTTGAGAAACTGCAAGTTGCTTCTGGTGTGAGAGAATTGGCCATCCACAGGGGACACCTAGATATGTTACCATCCTAAGGAGGCTTCTCTCATGTCCCCGCACAGGAAGCTGGAGATGACAGATGGGAGCTCACCCCGTCTCACAGATTCAAACTGCTGACCATCAGGGTTAATACCATTGCGCTACTGCAGCTCCTATCTATACTACTGATTGTATAATAATAATAATAATAACAACAATAATAATGATTTTATTTCTTACCCACCTCAAAGAGGTGGGTAAGAAATAAAAACCCATAATCGTTATATTAAAAAGACACATATTAAAATGCATTTCTACAAAACACATATATTAAAATACATAGAACAAAGTGAATTTAAAATCGATGATGAAAACTGATTGGGTAGGCCTGTCGGAAGAGATAGGTCTTTAGGTAAGTTTTCAACACCGACAGTATGCTTAGCTGTCAAAGCCCTTCTGGCAGGTCATTCCACAGTCTTGGGGCGGACGACAAAAAGGTCCTCTAGATTCATACGCTTTTAACTTTGTTGTATCCCACCTTGAAGCATCAGGAGCGATGAGTAGTAAATTTTTCTTTTTTTGAGAAACTGCAAGTTGCTTCTGGTGTGAGAGAATTGGCCGTCTGCAAGGACGTTGCCCAGAGGACAGCCGGATGTTTGATGTTTTACCATCCTTGTGGGAGGCTTCTCTCATGTCCCCTTAATCATCACATATCCTCATGCAATACCATTCTCCTTTGTCATTCCTCTGTTTTCAAATGAAATCGGCACTACAGCCAATTTATTTAGTTTTTACAGTACTGACTTTCTATCTTCTAAATGTATTTTAGATAGGTTTTGATTATTCTTGTTTAGAGAGTTCTAGCTTTAATTCTACTTAAGTTTCAAATGGCACATTGAATTTTTACCACTGTTCAACACTTGAATCTAAGAGAGATTTGTTTTCATGTCAGGAAAGACTTGAGAAACTGCAAGTCGCTTCTGATGTGAGAGAATTGGCCATCTGCTCTCGGTCCCACCAGCCTCACAAACGTGTCTGGTGGGGACGAGGGACAGGGCCTTCTCAGTGATGACCCGCCGCTTGTGGAACTCGCTCCCCAGCGAGATTAGATTGGCGTCCTCCTTCCTTTCCTTTAGGAAAGAGCTGAAATCGTAGTTGTGGAACCAGTCCATGGGCTAGCAGACATAATGGCACTTGGACATTGAACTGGACCAGATGATAGTTATAACAATGGAAACGGCTTTATAATTGTATAACTAATGTTATATTGTTTAAATTTATTGTATATTTATGGTTTTTATATTGTTGTTCATTATGATATTGTAGCATCGAATTGTTGCCAGTGTTAGCAGTTCTGAGTCCCCCCTCGGGGGTTGAGAAGGGCAGGGTAGAAATGTTGTAATCATAAAATAATAATAAATCTGCAAGGACATTGCCCATGGAATTCCTGGATGTTTTGATGTTTTACCATCCTGTGGGAGGCTTCTCTCATGTCGCCGCATAGGGGGCTGGAGTTAACAGAGGGAGCTCAACCCGCTCTCCCCAGATTCAAACCACTGACCTGTAAGTCAGCAGTCCTGCCAGTACAAGGGTTTAACCCATTGTGCCACCGGGGGCTCCTGATCTATATAAATAAAAATGTAATGTTCGTTTGTGGGATTAACAAAACTCAAAAACGAGTGGGCCAATTGACACCAAATTTGGACAGCATAGACCTAACAACCCAATGTATGTCCTTCACTCAAAAAATTTTTGGGAGTTGTAGTTGCTGGGATTTATAGTTCACCTACAATCAAAGAGCATTCTGAACTTCACCAATGATGAATTGAACCAAACTTAGCACATAGAACTCTCATGACCAACAGAAAATATTGGAAGGGTTTGGTGGGCATTGACCTTAAGTTTGGGAGTTGTAGCTCACCTATGTAGTTCACTATGGACTCAAACAATGATGGAACTGGACCAAACTTGGCACAAATATTCCATATGCCCAAATATGAACACAGATGGGGTTTGGGGGAAATAGACCTTGACATTTGGGATTTGTAGTTACTGGGATTTATAGTTTACCTACAATCTAAGAGCATTCTGAACCCCACAAATGACAGAATTGGGGCACAGAACCCCCATGACCAACAGAAAATACTTAAGGCCATCCAGTCCAATTCTCTTCACCAGGGCAAGAAAATGTAATCAAAGCCCTCCTGACAAAGAGCCATGAAGAAATTACATATATGTGAAGAACAACAAGGCTCCTTTTTCCACATGTGGTGGTCATGCAGAGTTGCAAAAGCTTTCTGGAAAGAAATACATGAATAATTGAAAAGATACTGGAAATAAAGATGGAGTTCAAACCGGAACTTTTTCTACTAGAAATCACAGAGGAAGACCTGGAAATTAACAAAGACAAACTTCTCAATTATTTAATAACTGCTGCCCAAATCTGCTATGCGAGATATTGGAGAACCAAGGAAATCCCAACACAAGAGCTCTGGTTACTTAAGATAGCAGACACCATGAATATGGACAGATTGACTCAATTGATGAAAGCGAACCAAAAGATGAAAATAATAACAGATTGGTCCCCGGTAAGAGACTATTTCATTCAAAAAAACTACAACTGGATAATAAAAACATAAATAACAACACAAAAAGACTAATATACTACAACAGGACATGACCCAAGTGGGTTGGCCATCTACCTTTGAACAACAAACAAGAAACTTGAAGCCAAGATGGAAACGACTGGAAGCCAGCATCTTTCTTCCCACTCCCCCACCCCTTCTACCACTATCATCCCTCTCCCTACCCCTTTCCCCCCCCCTTCCCCATAAACTCACCCCACTTACCTCGATCCAAACCTCTCCCTCTATATCCCTCCTTCCCCACCTCACATCTTCCCACCTCTCTTTTGGAGCCCCCAGTGGCGCAGTGGGTTAAACCCCTGTGCCGGCAGGACTGAAGACCGACAGGTCGCAGGTTCAAATCCGGGGAGAGGCGGATGAGCTCCCTCTATCAGCTCCAGCTCCTCATGCGGGGACATGAGAGAAGCCTCCCACGAGGATGATAAAAAAACATCAAATAATCCGGGCGTCCCCTGGGCAATGTCCTTGCAGACGGCCAATTCTCTCACACCAGAAGCGACTTGCAGTTTCTCAAGTCACTCCTGACACGACAAAAAAAAATCCTCAGAGGTTGTGGAGCTCACCTCACCCCTCAGGTTCGAGCCTGTGACCTTTCAGTCAACAAGCTCCATTCTTCATACTATTGCTATTGATAAATCACATGAGATCAGACCCCTTGTTCCCTTCATTACAAACAAGACGCCTGACAATGTGTTGTTGAAGGCTTTCGTGGCCAGAATCACTTACCTCGATCCAAACCTCTCCCTCTATATCCCTCCTTTCCCACCTCACATCTTCCCACCTCTCTTTTTAACTCTCACTGTAAATACCTTCAATAAAAATCATTTTTAAAAAAAGAAATTACATATATTAGAAACCAACATTTTCTCATTACATTATTTTCCAGACCACCAGACTGGGCCACAGCAACGCGGGGCAGGGGACAGCTAGTAGTAAATAAAATGTATTATTATTTCCCAGATTGTGGTCATTTCTTGTTATGTTACGCAGCACAGTAATATGTCGCAACACACAGTTTGGAAAGCTCCGGCCTGTGGCATGATTCCCTCCCACATCTTTCCCCATTCGTTTCAAACCCCACTCACCTGGATAATGGGACCTGGGTGCCCCTTTTCTGGCAGGGTGGCCTCCTCTCTTCTGCCTCAGCCTCCCCGCTTCCCCCAACCAGGGGGCATCGCCAGAGCTTCTCGGTGAAAAGCGTGGGAATCTTGGCAAAACGAATGGGGCACGGCTAGGCCTTGATGAGGATGGGAAACTGTTAAAAGATACTCAGGAGTGGAATCTGGGAGAGAAACCAGAAGGATAGAGGGATCCAATATGTCTTTGAGGAGGAGGAAGAGGAAAGGAAATTAAGGGCCAATAAGACATTCAGAGGAGAGGAACCAGAGGGGTGATAGATTGCCTTGAAAAGGAATTAAGGGCAAGGAAGGGGGAGAGGCTGAGTTCAAAGGTGACAGGAATCATAGAATCAAAAGAGAGACTGGGAAGTCAGAGGTCGCTCCAGGGTGAGGCCTGAAGGGCAAAGGTCAGGGAAAGATGAGGATTCCAGGCTGAGAAGGCAAGCAGCAGGCGAGAGGAGAGGCGAGCCCCGCTCCGTCCCTTCAGGGGAGCCTCGGCCTTGAGGAGAACTCCGCCCCGGCCTTCTCCGTCGCCTTGGCAATGCGGGGGCAGGAAGAGAAGGGGGGCTCTCCGTACAGGAAGCGCCGCTCTGCCCGCCCTCGCTCTATGGCCTTCCCGGAGGGTAGCGGAGGCGGCTGGATGCGGCGGTCGCGCCGGCAGAGCTTTCCCCGCAGGACGGAACCGGAAGCCAGAGGCGCCCGCAACTTCCGCCTCCAGGTTGCGCCCATTTCCGCCCGCACCCTTCTCGGGGCGACCGCTCTGTCCGGCCATAGAGAGAGAAAGAGAGAGGTCGCCTTGAGAGCGGTGGCTGCCCTGCTATAGCGTTTCGGACTCCAGCTCCCAGAGTTCCTGGTACTTGCCAAAAAGGCTGGGGCTTCTGGGAGTTTAAGTCCTCAAACGCTGAAGGGTGGAAGGAGCCACTCTTAAAGGGGAATGGTGATGGAATCAAAGAAGTGAGGCGGAAAATGAAAGGAACAGAAAGGATGCGGATCATCTAGATCAGGCATAGAATCATAGAATCAAAGAGTTGGAAGAGACCTCATGGGCCATCCAGTCCAACCCCATTCTGCCAAGAAGCGGGACTATCGATTCAAAGCACCCCTGACAGATGGCCATCCAGCCTCTGTTTAAAAGCTTCCAATAAGGAGCCTCCACCACACTTCAGGGCAGAGAGTTCCACTGCTGAACGGCTCTCACAGTCAGGAAGTTCTTCCTCATGTTCAGGTGGAATCTCTTTTCAAGTTGGAAGAGACCTCCTGGGCCATCCAGTCCAACCCCCTGCCAAGAAGCAGGAATATTGCATTCAAATCACCCCTGACAGATGGCCATCCAGCCTCTGTTTAAAAGCTTCCAAAGAAGGAGCCTCCACCACACTCCGGGGCAGAGAGTTCCACTGCTGAAGTTCTTCTCACATAGAATCATAGAATCATAGAGTAGGAAGAGACCACATGGGCCATGTAGTCCAACCCCCTGCCATGCAGGAAAACCATCATCAAAGCACCCCTGACAGATGGTCATCCATCCTCTGTTTAAAAGCTTCCAAGGAAGGAGCCTCCACCACACTCCGGGGCAGAGAGTTCCACTGCTGAACAGCTCTCACAGTCAGGAAGTTCTTCCTCATGTTCATGGGCAAGCTTGGGCCCTCCAGGTGTTTTGGACTTCAACTCCCACAATTCCTAACAGCTTTCATTGCATCACTGGTGCAGGACGATGATTTGTACTACTACTACTACTATTATGATTATTGGGTTGTTGTAGGTTTTTGCGGACTATATGGCCATGTTCTAGAGGCATTTTCTCCTGACGCTTCGCCTGCATCTATGGCAAGCATCCTCAGAGGTAGTGAGGTGAACCAAAAAACTGTCAGGGCATCAAATTGCTAATCAAGGTGGTCAGTTGAAACATTCACACCTAGCTCCAGCAGACAAGAGTTCTTTGTCCCACCCTGGTCATTCCACAGATATATAAACCCAATTTTCCTAGTTCCAACAGACTGGACGCTTGCTATACATGCAGGCGAAACGTCAGGAGAAAATGCCTCTAGAACATGGTCATATAGCTCGAAAAAACCTACAACAACCCAGTGATTCTGGCCATGAAAGCCTTCGACAATACATTATGATTATTGTTTTACTGACACAAAAACACTATGAAACAGCAAACGAGATATATATGCTGGATTCTGTATCACAAAATCACAAGTCGAACACTTCCCAAGCGATTATTATTGTTGTTGTTTTTGTTATTATTATGATTATTTGATGCATAACAAGATTAGTATACAGCAAACAAGATCACTATGCTGGCTTTTGTATTTCATAGAATCATAGAGTTGGAAGAGACCTCACGGGCCATCTAGTCCAACCCCCTGCCAAGAAGCAGGGATATTGCATTCAAAGCACCCCTGACAGATGGCCATCCAGCCTCTGTTTAAAAGCTTCCAAGGAAGGAGCCTCCACCACACTCCGGGGCAGAGTTCCACTGCTGAACAGCTCTCACAGTCAGGAAGTTCTTCCTCATGTTCAGATGGAATCTCCTTTCTTGTAGTTTGAAGTCATTGTTCCACATCCTAGTCTCCAAGACAGCAGAAAACAAGCTTACTCCCTCCTCCCTGTGACTTCCTTTCACATATTTATATATGGCTATGACATCTCCTCTCAGCCTTCTCTTCTTCAGGCTAAACATGCCCAGCTCCTTAAGACGCTCCTCACAGGGCTTGTTTTCCAGACGCTTGATCATTTTAGTCACCCTCCTCTGGACACATTCCAGCTTGTCAATATCTCTCTTCAATTGTGGTGCCCAGAATTGAACGCAATATTCCAGGTGTGGTCTAAGCAAGGCAGAATAGAGGGGTAGCATGACTTCCCTAGATCTAGACACTACACTCCTATTGATGCAGGCCAAAATCCCATTGGCTTTTTTGGCTGCCACATCACATTGTTGGCTATTTGATCAGGTCAACAACATCCCTCCTCACCTTTAGGAGGAAATTGAAAACCTGATTATGGGAGCAGGCCTTTGGGCAACTGGCAGATAATTGACAATGGTAATAATGTTATGGAAAATGGACTATGGACAGGCTTCCGATCGTTTCGTGCTCGCTGAATTTGTTTCTACATAAGGCTAGACAGCCAGTACTATTGCACTTTTCATTAATGCACTTTTGATTTTAAAACTAATTTACTGTGTTTTTATATATATTACACAATCATGAGGTCAGGAGTATTGTGCTCCAAAACTCTGTCAGTCTGAATTTGGAAGTCTCAGAGTAATTTGACATGTTCATTTTCCGTAACCTTTTCAGGCTTGCGATCCCACCAGTTCATTGTCACAGGCAGATGGTACAGTATTTGTGACACAAGTTCCAATGGATCATCTGAGCAACATGTTATACCTCTATTTATAGTTTATAGTCCATCATTTCATCTGCTTCATTGCAATCTACACTTGGAATCTGTCATTGACTTTTCAATTCTGGCTTTGATGGCATTGGTTCCAATTGTTTATTATTGGGCTGCAAGTATCAGGCCCTTCGTCTCCTTTTTCAAAGTTCCGTTATTATTATTATTATTATTATTATTATTATTATTATTTTCTCCTTTTTGCAGCCCATCTTTTTCCCAGGTCTGGACTCAAGGCAGCTTACAACAGATCAGATGAATATAGTAGACCAGGAATATATGTAGTAGACCTCTGGGTGTTTTGGAATTCAACTCCCACAAATTTCTAACAACTGGTAGGCTGTTAGGAATTGTGGGAGTTGAAGTCCAAAACACCTGGAGGGCTCAAGTTTGCCCATGCCTGAAGTAGACTCTCAATTAACCAGAAGTCTCAAGCAACTGGCCCAAAAAATTAAAAAATATATTTTTACTAAAAAGCAGTAAAAAAACCAGTAAAAGTTACATTAATTTTGGCTTTATTTGTCGTAACTTGCTTTTAATTATTGTTTTTCTATAGTCATATCAGATCAATACAATTTATGATAGAGAATTAGGCTTATTTTGAATAAGAACTCTCAAGCAACCAGAAATTACAGTCCTTTTAACATCTACCAATCTACATAGGTGCTGGTTAACTAAAAGTCTACTGTGTAGCTTGAAAATCGTATTACAGTGAAGCTAAACATGTAATTAAACTGTCAAAACTCTGTTAAATGAAAACAGCAAATAGAAAATCCAGAACATAACCCTAGACCATTTCTCTTTAAGCAACCAATTTCCTAAAACCCAATGAAACAGGCTGGAAGGTGTCCAGAGGAGGGCGATTAAAATGATCAAGGCCTGGAGACCATGAATCCCTCTGATATGTTTAAATGTTTTAGCTTTAGAAAAGGTTGGGAGGAGATATGATAGCTAAATATGTCAGACAATGTCACTGAGGAGGGAGCAGATGTTTTCTGCTGTCCTGGAGATTAGACATGGAGCAATGGGTTCAAATGACAGGTAAGGAGATTGCACCTGATCATTAGGAAGAACTTCCTGACCATAAGAGCCATTTAACAGTGGCACTGACTGCCTTGAAGTGTGATGAAGGATCCTTCTTTAGATGCTTTTAAACAGAGGCTGAGTGACCATCTATCATAGGTGTTGTGATTGTGCTTTTCTTGCATGGCAGGGGGCTGGGCTGGATGGCCCATGCGATCTCTTCCAACTGTGATTTTATGAAGCAAAGAAGCAAACGAAAAGACTTGACCTGCTTGCAGGAAGACGACAAGGAGGGTGCCAGTACATTCCCTTTGGGGACGATCTTCCAGAGACTGGGGAAACTAATGAGAAGGCCCAGTATATGTAATCTCCAGAGGTAGTTATGGGGACAGTGGGAAGGAGAGCCTTCTAAGAAGCTCTCAAAACAAAGGGCAAGATTCATATAGATCAGGGCTTCTTAAACGTTTTCCACTTCTAGCCCCTTTCCGCCAAGAAAGCTTTATAGGCATATAAAATAGGTGCAAAAATAAAGTATTTACTGATAATAAATCAGCATTTGCAAGTCTTGTTAAACAGACTGATTTTCCTTTTTGTGACATACAGCTGAAGCATTTTCTGCGGAGTCCATTGCAAACACCGCAATGTTGTTGCTAACAGATTTGTGTAAATGGGTGGTATTCGGAAACCTTTTACTGTTGCCAAATTTTTCGTGCACCAACATTGAACTAAGTGGATGCCATCTGGGGTTGAGGCCCACATTTTAAGAAGCACTATAATACTGCTGTGGCAGTTTTCTCTTCCTGAAGCTACAGCTTTTGCAGAGGTATGTACAGTGATGTACATATTCTGTAGCCACCTGAATGTTTTGGGAATCTCAAAATGGATTGGTGATGTATGAGACTTGTTATTTTACCTCAATCTATCTCACTGCATTGCAGTGAGGTCAAAATTGGGAAAGGAGCAAAAAGGGAACCATGTGTAATGAACTTAATTTTGAGGAATATGTAATAAATACATCACACAACCCAAAGTATTTTCTGTCAATTAAGGTAAAGGATTTTCTGTCCAGATAAGCTGATAGCTAGCTCAGTGTTTATTTCATGGCTTCAGGRACTTTAATACTGTAACTTGTAATGTTACTTCAAAGGCAATAGTCTTATATGGAGAAAAATCCCCAYAAGTAATATAATTTACTGGTTTCCAGCTAGCTCTCCAGTCTGAATTTTTGCTTTTTGATTTCCCCCCCCCCCC